GGCATGACCAAATATACTAGTGGTGCCCACAGTAGGTCATAGAAAAGCAGGAAAAACTCAGTTATAGTTTTCAGATGCTATCTGATGACATTCTTACGCTTTTGGATTGGTGGAAACTAATGGTTTGCCAGGAATGCACTTTTGTTTTTGTTCTTTGCTTTAAAATTTTTTTATTTTCTAAGACACATCTTAAAGGTTTTGATAGTCAGAGGATGTTAGGTCAGACACAGAGGTGGGCTGGCTTTCCGCAGCACTAAAAATAGCCCAAGACAGTTTGACTCTGGTCTGCAGTATCTTAACTCTTCCATAATCACTATGTTCAATCATTTGATCTTGTACACAGATGTGGACTTTGTTTCTGGGAATTTCATTCACAGGTCCCCATAATGGCCGAATGGTTACATTTTGTGCAGGCAGAGGCCAAATGTTTTTGTTTACAAGACTAGGAAGACTGAGTAATGCTGTTTGAAAAAGACTGGGCTAAAGAGACAGGAATGCAGCCTTGGAGGAAGGAACAGTTGCTAAAATCATTAAGAAGTAAATTCACCTACTACAACCTGAGTCTGACTGTTTTTTCTTTGTATCTGACATTATAGGAGTAATATTAAGAAATAATTAAGAAAATAGTCGGGCAAGGTGGTGCATGCCTTTAATCTCAGAACTCAGGAGGAAGAGTCAGGTGGATCTTTTGAGTTTGAATCAGCCTGGTCTATACTGCAAGTTCTAGTACAGCCAGAGCTACTCTGAAAGCCCGTCTCAAGTCCCTCCCGAGGCCCCTCCCCCGGTTAAGATGGTGGGTAAAGTATGTAGTAAATTTTTAGAGTGCTTGCCTTTCATGCATAAAGCCCTGGGTTCACTAGCACTCTAGGCAGAAGGATTAGAAAGTTCAAGGTGATCTTTAGCTACATAATGAGTTCAAGGCCAGCCTGAGCTACAGATCTGGTCTTGAAATAATAACAATATGGCCTAAGGGAGTAAAGGTAGCAGCTGAGAGGAACAATCAGTTTAATTGACCAGGCTGATTGTATGTGAACTATATGTAATGTTTGTATTTTAGTTTTCCTTTTTACTAGTTTATTACATAGCTTTGACTTCATAAAGAGTAGCTAGTTCAGACTTTAGGAACGATCAACTTTAAATATATAGGTTATTATAACTCCTGTGATTAGTAACTATATTTGTCCCATTATTTTGTTACTACATCAGATTTTAATTTGGGAATGTAAATGGAAAGTCACAGGAGAAATCGGATAACAATATAATTTTAAATTTTCTTCTAAAAAAGTTATCTTTTTCCAGTGTGTCAAATATTATTAGTGACAGGGACAGAAATAAAAAGTCAGGTCCCTTAGAACTGGAGTTACAGATGGTTGTGAGCTGCCACATGTGTGCTGGGAATTGAACCTGCATCCTTTGAAAGAATAGCTACAGCTCTTTACTGCTGATCTCTCACCCCAGCCTATTTAAGGAATTTTTAAAGAGCTTTAAAGGTTGACTATGGTAAAGTTAAGGAGTATATGTATATAGTAAGTATATGTTTTCATCGTCTGTGAACCTGTCTATGGTGCACTTCACCTTCTGGTTGTCTTCATTACTCTTCTATTTTGTAAAAGCCTTCTAGTACAAAATATTATTTTATTATAGAAATTCTGTCCTTACTATGAGATAAAGGTAGTACATCTCAGGCAGACTTTACTGTTGCTTGGCTTCTCAGAAAGGCTCTTAGCATGTTGTTTTTCTTGGTTTTAAGAGTTTGATAATTTTTTTTTTTTTTTTTTTTTGTTTTTTTTTTTTTTGTTTATTATTGTTATTATTTTATAACACCATGCCTCGAACTCACGGAGATCCGCCTGCCTCTGCCTCCCGAGTGCTGGGATTAAAGGCGTGCGCCACCACCGCCCGGCAAGAGTTTGATAATTAAAGAATGTCTCATTTCCACAGGAGCTGGCTAAGATAACTGACACTGGACAATGAACTTGTCTTTGCACAATAGACAGGAGGGGAAATACTGATAGACATCTTTCTGTTATCCCTGCAACTGTAGTTTTGGATTGAGGAGGGAGGAGCTAGCAAATGGTTACTTTTTCCTGGAGGAACAAGGGCGTTTTTTGGGACCAGTGGTGGCAGACTGGTCCAGATTACTTGTATATTTGCAACATAACCACCATCAAAACATATCTAAAAACGAAAGAAAAAAATGTCTATGACATTTTACCAGCATGCACCGGTCAGAAACTGACTTAGCATTATGCTGCCACTTCACTAGCACATTGACTGTTACATACGTAAGTATATCAAATAATGATTTAATGAACAGAGACTCCAAATTCAATATTGTCTTTTTGTATACAACACATTTTTATCTAATCTCTTAAGTATTATCTAACAGCAATGTATTAATGTTTGTCTTTATTAATTACTGACTGACAACTTCACCTTCTTAGTAGTAAAAATAGACAAAATATATTTAACATAGGATAAAGTCTAGAAACCATGTAAAAGCTTCTCCACATATAAGCTAGTTCTAAATATACTCTAAATGTATATTTTAAGTTTGATTAGTAAAAAGCAGTTGAGCAATTTGAGCACCGTGGTGGTATGAACGAGAATGGTCCCCACAGGCTCACAGATTTGAATAGCTGATCATCAGGGAGTGGCACTACTTGAAATGATTAGGAGGTGTGGCCTTGTTGGAGGAAGTGTGCCACTGGGAGTGGGCTTTGAGGCTTCAAAAAGCCCATCAAGCCCAGTGTCTCTCTCTCTCCCTGCTGCCTATTGATCCAGATGTAGAGCTCTCAGCCCCTTCTCCAGCATCATGTCTGCCTAAATGCCACCATGCTTTCCACTGTGATGACAATGGACTAAACCTCTGAAACTGTAAGTCAGCCCCAGTTAAATGCTTTCTTTTCTAAGAGTTGCCGCGGTCATGGTGTCTTCACAGCAATAGAACACTGATTAAGACAAACACTTAATAAAAACATGTTTAATTATCCACTAAATGCAAGACATTAGTTATCACTCTTATGTTTTTTCTCTCTTTTTGCCTTATTTTTCAGAATCAACAATTGAAAATGCCAGATTCAAATCATTCAGAAAGCTCAAAATTAAAGTCTTAGTATCTACAATTTTGTTGGCCCTGACTGAGATAAAGTCTTTGTATGCCAGTTTTTAAAATTCTCTCCTAAATTCTACATTTAGAATCTGTCATTAAATTCTACATTCTAAATGTCTGTATTTTAGCTAGGCCTAGTTAATGAGCTGGAATAACTGGGTTTCATTAACTCAGTGAGACAAAGGATGAGGGAAATGTAGACAGGCAATAATCCCTATATATTATTGCCACTGATATTTTTCAAAAAATCCTAAAATGCTTATATTTACATAATAAATTACATTAAAATATACATTTATAGGTACATAAAGAATAGAAATTTTAGTTCACAATAAGTTAAAAATGAAGTGGCCAAAGGTTTGTTATTCCATCGTTTTCAGAATTTTAGGGGCAGACTGAGTTTTTGCCCCATGCTGTTACATAGACAAAAATGAATGTTTATAAAGTAAAAGCAAAACAAAACAAACAAACAAAAAAAAACCCTCAAATAGCCCAACACTATAGCTCTGTGGATAAAAGCATTTGCTATGCAAGTTTGACAACCTGAACTAAATCCCTGGGATCCACTTAAAAGTGGAAGGAGAGGACCAACTCCACGAAGTTGTTCCCACCTTTACATGCATGCTGTATGTCACACACAGCACATATACATGGAAAAATAAAACAAAATTCTCTGGAAGGCCTGGGAAAAACAAGAACAAATCAAACCCAGAAGTAATTAGTAGAAATAAGGTCAGGGTAATGAAATAGGAAAAAACAAAAAGAACTAATGAAGTAGAGGTGGTTTTTAAAAAGTTAAACAAGATGCCGGGCAGTGGTGGC